AGTCCTGAAGTTGCGGGTTGCAGAAAAACGTGTATTTAGTTTTGAAAAAAGGTTAAGGACGATTTTTTTCTGTAAGCTAAGTTCCCTTCTCACAGATCCAGTCACTTATTTTATCGCCTCCGAAATGTTCAAATACTCCAGATTAATTGATCGTGGGTAAACTTTTCTGAAAAATTAGGAGAAAAATATTCGAAGATAATATTTGCGTGAGTTCATTCTCTAAGTTTTAGTCCATTAATTAGACTACATTTTGCAATTAGGAACTATCATTTATGGTTCAATTAGAACCAACTTATGTACCATTAGTTTCCCTATGCACATAATGGTTTTTTCAGATGAGCCATAAATTATAGTTTCGAATTGCTAAATGTAGTCCAATTGATAATTCTTCAAAATTTTTGGGGCAAAACGAAAATTAAAATACGTGGAAGTGAGGACATTTTTCAGTTAAGTGGCCAGGCGTGAATGATCGATTATCGATATTTCTCCATTTGAAGCTATGTAAATAATCGATTATTAAAGTGTTCGCTGCAAACATTCTATCTATCGATCCTTTCCAATAGGTTTAAATGGCAAATTAATCGATTTATCGCAAAGCACGCTACGCCACTGAAAAATGCCCTCACTTCCACGTACTTTAATTTCCGTTACTTATTTTTTATGTGTTTGAATGCAATAGGCCGTATTCGATAACGGTTCGATGTATCGTTTGGTTCAAAACAATAGAACATAACCTCAAACCAAATCTGTAAGAATTTAAGGTGGAAAAGCTGAAAATGAGAAATTTCCTGACAATTTCACTTTGCATTGGCATTTGGTACTCAAAAGAATAAAACATCTGTTACAAAAGACCCGTTCTCTCAGATTTCTGAATTTACTTTTGAGGCTATATTTATGTTTTGAACCGATCGATATCGATACAATCTCACCCGTTTGAGGTATCGAATACGATCTATTATAATAGTATTATTTAGTGGTGCCACTATTTACTATTCTTCATTTGTCAAAAAATGGACTTGCTCCCTTTTGATCCTTCATGTTTTATATGTTTTTAGTGAAATGCGTAACGGCTGAAAATCGAGGGCGACACCTAATGACTTTTATGAAAGTTGAATGAGTCCTTGTTGGTTAAGTGCCTCGTCGATTCGATCGAATCAATGTCCCAGTTATGCGCTCCCTGGAGAAATTCTCGTTTTACATTCAACATTTATGGACGCGGATGGACGTGTGTGTTCCGCATTCTGCGTGTGTGTGTCTGCGGGTATGTGTCAAGTTCTACGTCTCGAGGAAAGAATCCCGCAAAACCAATCAACCTGTTGCTTTTCGAAACATTCATGAAAACACAGGGGAACGATGTCGCACGGTGGATCGAGTCGATCGGAAAGGTCGGACATCTAACTTCTCCCTAACTGAAACTGTAAATTGTGATGTTTATTTCGTCACATCGAGGAAACCAATGGAACCAATTTTAGAACCTCACATGGAGATGTTGCATGTGTGAGGAATTTGCGATTTGACAGTTGATTCTTACGTACTGTGTGTCTTTTTAACAATCTGGCATTTGTTCAATTGTCAGGGAATTTCAGCAAAATGTGTCAGGGAAATCAGGAAAATGTCAGGGAATGGAGATGTTGCACTTGTGAGGGATTTGCGATTTGACCATTGATTTGTATGTAAAAGTTCGCAAGAAACACGATGGTGCCACTGGTTTTTTCTGAAATCAACTCCCAAGCTCAAAAAAAGCTCTCAAGTTGAGGCCAAAATGGAGGGGATATCCCACGCTATCCTGAAAGTCCACATTTACATCGAGAAAAACTCTCCATGCAAAGATAGGGAGCAAATACATTGACAGGGCTGCCACTTTATTTGGGGACTCCAAAACTGAAAACACGGCACCACTGCTAATGTATTTGCTCCCTATCTTTGCATGGAGAGTTTGTCTTGATGTAGAAGTGGAATCTCAGGATAGCGTGGGATATCCCCTCCATTTTGGCCTCAAGTTGAGAGCTTTTTTGAGCTTGGGAGTTGATTTCAGAGAAAACCAGTGGCGCCATCGTATTTCTCGCGAACTTTCACTTAAGAATCAATAGTCAAATCGCAAATTCTTCACACATCCAACATCTCCATTTTACATTGGTTACGAGAAATTTAAATTGCCCGGTTACTTAAGAATAAAGTGCTTTGAAAATCATTAAATTTGAACCACCTTAACATTTACAAAACATTCATTATAATTACCTTAAATACATATTTTCCCCCTTTAAAAATCAATGTAAATGAGAATAATCCATGCAAAGTGTGCAAACATTTAAAAATCATAAGTTGGAAAACGCGAACTCCGCGAGTCCAAGTATTTGAGCCAAACACCGAGCGGAGAAGCGTGCTGCCAGCGCAACACGCGCGCTAGCGCCTACAAACCTAACTGGGATACTTCACGCATTGCGCAATGCGTGAAGTATCCCAGTTAGGTTTGTAGGCGCCGACGCGCATGTCACGCTGGTCGTCCTCGCCCACCGCGCTGCAGCGTGCCACGGCGCTTCAAGCAACTATCTCGCAGCCGAGGTGTTGCGCAGTATCATATGAAATTGAAGGCGTTTGAACGTATCAAGAATGACAGGCATCCATTAATATGCGGAGTTTTCCTCGCAAAATAAATCAATATATTAGGCACAAAAAGAGAGGGGTATTCCAAAAACTCACTAAGTCCTAGCATCCGTATTTAAGAACGTTTAGCTTAATTTTTGAATTTCATTAAAAAAAAAGTGACTCGATTTAGGCTTAAACCTCACCTCAGCCTCAGGGAGGGATTTAAACCTCACACATGCAACATCTCCATTCTGTATAAACGGAGTATGAACGTCTAAAATGTCTAAATTTTATCCGACATTTCCTGTTGACTCGATCCACTGTGCGTCGCCGGCAACTTATTCCAACTCTTTGTTTCGATCGATTTTCGACGGACCCCGGGGGAAGTCGCCAGAGATTCAGAGACGATATTGTATCAGAACGCTTGCTGCTGTTTTCTGAATTTCTCTAAGATTTTCGAAAGTAATGCAAACTTTCCCGTTCGTCGCAAGATGGAAGGCGCTGTTGGAATGCAGTCCTGATCTTTGAGGTGATTCAATGGTCGCCATATTTTGTGTCGGAACGGCATGCGATATATCGCATCCATCGGTTCCATTTTTTCAGCTACTCGTCAGTTTTCTCCAATTTCGAGATCGCAATTCTGTTGTCAGGAGACTAAAGCACTCACTTGCCAATTTTAACAAAGAAATTCAACGTAATAAAGGCGTGGTTTTTTTAGAGAGAAAATATCGCATTTGGTATGGTCATGTCCAGAGAATGGCAGGAGACAGGTTGCCGAAGAAGGTCCTGGACTGGGTTCCTCCTGGGAGAAGACGCAGAGGGCGCCCAATGAAAGGTTGGAGGGAAGGGATTGAGGCAGAAATGTTAAGGTGCTCAATCCCCCAAGATTTGAGGGTTTGAAAGAGAGCAGTGGAGGTTAGGGGTCGTAGAGCGCGAGGAAGTTCTGTAAAGCGACTTATACGTACGTAAATATCGCATTCGAGCGCAGTTTCGATATCAGTATCGAATGCGATGTCTTCTCTCTGAAAAAACCACGCCTTTATTACGTTGAATTTCTTTGTTAAAATTGGTAAAAAAGTGCTTTAGTCTCCTGACAACAGAATTGCGATCTCAAAATTGGAGAAAAATGACGAATAGCTGAAAAAAATGGAACCAATTGATGCGATCTATCGCATGCCGCTCTGACACGAAATATGGCGTCCATCGAATCACCTTAAGATCCAACGACTTATTTTTATTATTTAGGGTTTCCCAAAACTTCTATCAGTAGTTCTGGTTTAAAAAAATATCTTAGGTACTAACAAAATGTTTTAAAAAATGTTGTAGTCTTTAGAGCCCTAAACGGGAGATCAATCGATTTATCGCAAAGCACGCCACGCTACTGCTTTTAAACAACCCCCAGGCAATGTCTAGCTCTCATCACCCGTCACACGACTTCGGGTTCATGAAATGGAAGAGAGTTAATTACATTGGAGTCTTGACAACATCGGTTTTCATCAAATTCATTTGGTTCTTTGCGAGTATGAGACAGCACAAGATTTGAAGTAACGCAAATTCGAAGCACCGCGAAGTTAAATAAGAGTGTAATTTCAACCCTCTCCTCGCCGCTAGAAGTTTATATATGAATCATATATATGAGATAAGTTCTATCATATAATATAATAGAACTTTTCTCCAAGATAGGGGACATGATTTAATCGGCGCTCCTTGGCTCGCTAGTGGCGCGTCTGTGTGGGTGAACAGGGAAAGGGGAAGTGGTGACGGACTAAGCATGCGTAAGAGCCCTTCATAAACTTCAAAATGCAACCAGCTCGTCGATCTATGTTGGTGCCTAGCAATTTCGTGCACAAATATGCTGGCAAGGAACATCTATTTCCATCGGTTTTTAAGGACTGTAAAAGACAATGATAACCACTAAACCAAAACTGTCGTTGTAAAAGCTACTAGATATGGTCTTGCGAAAATGATGTGTAGACTAATATTTGAATTTGGATGCTTGTCCAATTCTATCTTACGCAAAATGAGATGTGCATGATGGAATACGACGTGATATAAATATAAAGCCGTGCTTTCTGGGGCTCATGTGGAAATCAAAATGTGCCCTTACGTCGGAGGAGCGGCAAATTGGAGGAATATTCACACGGACCGGCTGCACTGCAGCAATGCATTGTGGGGAAACAGTCGCAAGGCCCTTGTGACACGGTCAAATTACGAACAAACTGAATGGTAACTGCAGAAGACTCGGAATCACGCAAGTGGCCAATCAGAGGGCCTCAAGTATAATCGATGACTTTTCAGTCTCCCCTCTGACGTAAGGGTGTATCTTGATTCCTACGTAAGCCCTCTTTTACATACAGTATAAATAAAGTTAAGCATTGCTTCTAACTTCCATCTGTTCTTTCCCTCTGTTTCAGGATATACCAGACCGAAATACCGAAATGTGATGCGTGAAACAACAGTAAGTAACCTCTGCGTGCATTTATTGGTCTCACGTAGATCTTGGTTCATTAATTAAATTGATTTTGTATTTTTTTCCAGCAAATATATGTATTTATTACTATCCATCCGAAATCGAAGCCGTATCTACTTTTATGAATATTACAAATGTAAGAGGAGCTTTCGGAATATTTTTGGTTTCTTATTATGAATAAATAAAATACAATGAGAAAATTCAAACTGATATTCCTATTATTTGTAAATTTTTGACTGTTCACGGGGAGAGACATCAGTGCACAAAAATGCATGATCAAGTCAATGATATCTGGGTGCAGACGAACGCTTTAGCTGAACGCCACTCTGTTGCTTCAAAATTGAACGAGCCCATTCACAATTTATCCGCTAGGATACCAGAGAGTTTCCCGTTGAAAGCTCAAAATCCTATCCTTTAACTGAATTTGACATACATTACGCTTTAAAAATTTCCTTTCCGTGAATGTAGGTCTGATTTCTCATGAATATTCGCAGATGTTTAAAAAAAAAATTAATGAGTAAGGGATGAAGCACGTTTCTTAATGACACATTTCAAAATGCATTTTCTTCCACTTTGACAAGGAAACTGACTAAAAATTCAGGGTTGCCCTAGTCAGGAAATACCAGGAAAACCGAGAAATGTCAGGGAATTTTAAAAAGTCAGGGAAAAGCTAGAAATTTTAGGGAAAATGTCGAAAGTGTCAGGGAAAAATTGTTAATTTAATTTTATTCGCTTTCTAGAATGGATTTAACGTCGTCAGGGAGATCGGGGAAATGTTAGGGAATTTCATTTTCTAAATATGGTGGCAACAATGAAAATTTTATAATTTTTCATTTCACTCCCAGTACTCCAATCTTACTCGTGTGGCTGTAGCTTCATTACAGACACACTGAAAAAAAATGCTCGGCGTTTTTACCAAGGTCCGTTGGTACCTTTACCATCTCACTTTCTTTACCAATTATTGGTAATTTTACCGAGACAGACTAGTAAGCTTACCTAAAAACCGGTATTTTTACTGTTTTTTTTTTCAGGTAAGAATACCACTTTTACTGGTAATCAATTTCCGGTAACTTTGCCATTTTATCTCGGTAATTCTACCACAGTCGATAAAAAATATCGGCGTTTTTACCAAGATCCAGTAAAATTACCGAGAAAGTTCAATAATTTTACCGAGATTTCTTGGTAAAATTACCAATTCCATAAATGGTAATTGTACCAAGAAAAAACTGGGACCAAATAGAACCCTGAATTCTTGGTAATTTTACCCTTTTCTTAGTAAATACACCGAGATTTTTTTTCAGTGCAGTTTTTAAAGTATTGACCAATTTTTTCAGTAGAAAACATGAACTGTTGAGTGTTTCCTCCGTTAATCTCCTCTTACCTCTTTAATCCTATTTTATAGCTTAATAGCATGCACATATTCAAGAGAGGGAGGGAGAGGAGTGCCAATGCGTGGAGAGAGAGACGGGTTGACGAAATCATGTTCTGCGGGCGTCATACGCAATTTGCGCTTTTGTTTCCTCCGCGCTGCTCCGTTTCGAAGCAATCGCGAAAACGCGATAAATTTAATACAAGCACATCTCATGTCAAGTTGCCGTAGACAGTCGCTCGGTGCATTCATCTACCCGAGCGACGTTGCCACGCTGTGCCTGCGATAAAACGCCCCCAAAACGCACGGAGTACTACCCTACCGCGCAACGCAAAAACGCTGTAAACGCCATTTTAAATTTTTTGGAAACAGCGTGTCGTAGCAGAAAAACTTGCGTACTTTGGGACAATGTTTTTGCAGAATTCTTTCGCAATTACTATCAGTAACTTAACCTGACAATCTGAGGTACATGTGTAAAACAATTTTTATTTTATAAAGCATTAAGTCCCAAAAACCGAGGGAAAATCTTGATGGATTTACGGCGTTCTTGCTTAGCACGGTAGTCCTGCCATGCTAAGGAAGAACGCCGTATGAACCTTCGTGTGTTGCCCTATTTCTTTTGGTAAAATACGAATTTTCTGGAAAACATTCGAAAATTTTCCGTCCGATTTCCCAGGGAATTTTCTTTGCAATGTAATCTACAGTATCAGAAAATTTCAAGTAGGAATATATTCATTAATTGTCTCAAAAATCAGTATTTTAAGAGGGGAAATTTTGCGGCTTTGGGAAGTTCACGGCGTTTTTCTATAGCACTGTGTTACGGAATGGAGGAATAAAGGAACCTAATTTTCTCTTTAATTTCATCGAACCATTTTAAATCAACTGAATGGTCTCACTATTAAAGCAAAATTCGCCCCTCTTGCAAAATACAAAGACTGTCGCAAATTTTCGAAATCGAGTTGCCTTTAAAAGTCAAGTATTTTTGCAGTGATAAGATAAACTGAAGCTCCTTCAATTTTTCGTTTATGCATTATGGACGCCCACTGAGCACGAATAGTTGTATCCAGGTGTTTAGATCATCCTCGAGTCAAGTTTGGCTTTGGTTGACTATACTTTCGATACTTGCCTGTGCTGCCTTGTTATCGAAGGTACCACACTAACGACAAAATTTTCGAAATTGAGTTTCCATCAACGTGCGAATAATATAATTTAATACTCTTATTGAGTAATCAGTTCAGTTAGGTATAAGAGCCGAATTCCATTTATTCCATTCTGATTTCTTAAATTGATCGACAAAGTGATAGCCACTGGTAAAAAAAAAACCTCTTGGACCAATGCCGCGGTGCATTGACTTAAGAGTGCAGTTTCTTGTCGCCGGATTTAAGAGTCTTGAACTCTTGTTTCATGCGGATTTTGCATTGATTCAATTCAAAATCCGCGTGAAGCAAGAGTCCAGACTCTTAAATCCGGCGACAAGAAACTGCACTCTTGAACCAAGAGGTTTTTTTTGTCTAGACAAAGAAGACAAAGGGGAAATGGAGGGACCCTGTCGGTGGAAGCAGATGGTAGTCATAGATTAAAGGAGAAAATTTCATCATGAGGTCTCTCATGGATTGCCGTTAGTTAGTTTATTTTTTACTTCCTCTATTCATTGCCACCACCCGCACTGAAAAAAATACGTGAATCCGTATTACGGGCTATGTATAAATACGGCTATATATAGCCGTATTTACGGCGTACCATCCGTTCCGAGTTCAAAGGCCAAAACTTCCGGGCGTAGCAACCGGAGCAATCAAAGCTACGACTCCAGCATCCGGAAGTTTCGGCCTCTGAGCCCGGAACTGACGGCATGCCCACTGTTTCTCTTCAGTGTACACTGAAAAAAAAAATATCGGTGTATTTACTAAGGAAAGGGTAAAATTCCCAAGAATTCAGGGTTCTATTNGGGCGAGCGACAATACGTAAGCGGTGGCATATGGTTCGATTGACAGAGGAGTGGGGAACGGTCAGACGTAGGGGAAAGGTTCAGGCTGAACCGTTCAGCACAGCGCAGCGTCAGTCACCGGGTGGGGAAGAGAGTCCGGGAGGGGACACTTCCCCTCGAGTGAAATAGAAAAAGGCAGAATCCTTCGAAGTTTATATTAATGATACACTTATTGAGTAATCAAATCAGTTAGGTATAAGAGCCGAATTCCATTTATTCCATTCTGATTTTTTAAATTACGGGGGACGTCCCGTAAAGGGTTGGTGGCAGGGCGTTGACGAAGAGATGTTGCGGTGTCAGTTGCCCGAAAACCTCTGGGAAGACAGGCATATGTGGCGTTTGGGTGTTGTAGAACGCCCGAGTGCGTTGTAAAGCGACTTCATATATGTATTTTTTAAATTGATCGACAAAGTGATAGACAAAGAAGACGAAGGGAAAATGGAGGGACCTTGTTGGTGGAAGCAGGTGGTAGTCATAGATTAAAGGGGAAAATTTCATCATGAGGTATCACATGGATTGCCGTTAGTTAGTTTATTACTTACTTCCTTTATTCATTGCCCCCACCAGCACTGAAAAAAATACGTGGATCCGTATTACGGGCTATATATAAATACGGCTATATATAGCTGTATTTACGGCATACCGTCCGTTCCGAGTTCAAAGGCCAAAACTTCCGGGCGTAGCACCCGGAGCAATCAAAGTTACGCACTGAAAAAAATATCTCGGTGTGTATACTAAGAAAAGGGTAAAATTACCAATAAATCAGGGTTCTATTTGATCCTGGTTTTTTCTTGGTAAAATTACCATTTATGGAATTGGTAATTTTACCGAGAAATCTCGGTAAAATTATTGAACTTTCTCGGCAATCTCACTGGACCCCGGTAAAAACGCCAATATTTTTTATCGACTGTGGTAGAATTACCGAGATAAAATGGCAAAGTTGCCGGGAATTGATTACCAATAAAAGTGGTATTCTTACCTGAAAAAAACAGTAAAAATACCGGTTTTTAGGTAAGCTTACCAGTCTGTCTTGGTAAAATTACCAATAATTGGTAAAAAAGATGAGATGGTAAAGGTACTAACGGACCGTGGTAAAAACGCTGAGAATTTTTTTTCAGTGCGACTCCAGCATCCGGAAGTTTCGGCCTCTGAGCCCGGAACTGACGGTATGTCCACTGTTTCTCTTCAGTGTACCAGTGGAATCGCTCCATTTTCCCTTTGTTTTCTTCGTCTTTTGTTTGTCTACCAATTTCATCATCCCGAAGAGTAGACGAGTTCTCGGTTCAACTTGGCGGGTCCGCGCGCCGACTGCAAAGGACGAATCGAACGCTGCTGAAGTAGCTACATCTCCGGGCTCACCTTTTAACATTTTCCACGTGCGCCCACGCACCACCTTCCCCCTCCCCCACCCCCTTCCACCACCCCTCAAACCACCGCGTTCGTTGCGGCTGTCATAACTCCCCTGTTTGTCTTGCGGAAGTATGAGATGGAACGCCAGAGAAGGTGTTTTGTTCCGGGTAGAGCACACTCGTGTGAATCGAGTAGCGGCTATTTTACACCATGATGAAAGTTTTCCTTCACCTTGAAAGATGTTTTCCACGAAAAAAGGATCGTATCTTTTATAATGCTCATAGTAGATCTCATGTTCCATCGACTAATCTAACCTAGAGTACCTATATAGGGAGAGTATGGACATGTCGAAAATTTTGAGGTTAGGTGATGGAGCTCTTAGACCCCAGAAGAGTAGGCAATTTGTAAATTAAAATTATCCAGAGTGATTTATAATCACAATTGGACGTATTTCTGCCAAACGGAACTATGTGCATTGAGACATGAGCCCTGAGAACCTTAAGAATATATGCATAACAGGGCTCACGTCACAATGCACATAGTTCTGTTTGGAGGAAATACGTCCAATTGTTGGGAAATGTCTTTGGTAAAGCACCTATTTGACTTGGTTTTTGCATAAATTTACTCATTTTTGCGGAAGAATGTTTACTTATATTTTCTTGTACATTTTCGTTTGATATTGGAGTGTAAAAATTGACAGTGACAGTTTTCGTTTTCAAAGGTTACCTACCCTTTTGGGCCCGAAGAGCTACATTATTTCGAGTTGTCCATACTCTCCCCATATAGGTACTCTAATCTAACCCTAGTCACCAGGTTCGTATCTAAGTTCTACGTAATATTGATTCAACATCGAAATTCGGAAATTAAGGAAGGACGAACCTTCCTTATTAGACCTAGGGGTGAGAATTAAACCTTGCGATGTTTATCTTTGTACTTATACGGCCGATTTTTTAAGTTCGCTTGTGTAAATATTTACATTTTAATCATTGGGCCAATGACCAATTGACAACTTTGTAATTCAATATCACTGGAGGGTCTAGTAACCGTGTAAGCATTAATTGTTGAGATCTAAGGATGACTTTAACGTTTTCCTCGCAAAAATGATATATTTATGACGTCAGATTAAGTGCGAAAACAACGACACATTGAGTAAAATTTTGCAACGCTGTATTGAATCATTTTTAGAACTTTGGATAATATTGACTGTAGTGGAAGGGAATATATGATAAATACATTGTCAAAATTTCAACAAATTTCATGCATTAGTTGATTAGATAATTATTTCTCATCCGCTCATAAGAACACTGCATTGTGGATGGTAGCTCTTGCTAGTTTTCTTTCATGAAATAGGCAGTGAAAAATTTGCAACGTCGGAAATTGAGGTATGCATGTTTTTAACCTCACCGTCGGCGATGAGAAAATGTGCAATGCTAGTGCGTAATTTCAGCGGCAATCCTTATCTTCCGTCCGCCACCAGTCACCATACCTTCAAATCGAAGCGACACTGCTGAAGGCGCTCTGAGCAACTATTCCACCACAGATGTATTGCACGGTATCAAACGCAATTGAAGGCGCTTTGAAGTTTGTAAACTGGCTGGTGTCGTTTTCACGGTGTTGAGTTATTTTGACCCTATGATAAGCGACTCCTGATCGATCGATTTTCGTAAAACTTGGTGTTCAGGGGTATTTATTGTCGGGAAACTTGAATTTTAACTCAGATTTTCATAATTAGAAAATCCAAAACGGGAAATGTGACCTGGAATGCTATCTCGGCTCTTGTTTGATCGATTTTTGTGAAACTTGGTATATGGTGACACTTTCTAACGGGGAACTTAAATTTCAACTCAGTTCAAAATTCAAAAATCCAAGATGGCGGAGGTGGCCTAAAATGCTATCTTGGCGCCTACGAAAGTATCCAAGTGAGTTTGCATTTGGGAAGTGATAGTTGAAAACATTGTTCCTTTTATTGATAAAGCTAAAATCGGAAATGTAATATTAGAAATTTGTGATCAATGTCTTTATGTTGGCTTTTTTATTCGGTAGACATCCATTAAATACCTTTCTAAATTTAGGGATGTAGACTCCTGAGAAACAGTTGAATGAGACGTCTAGCATGATCCACCAAGCATGGTTGATTCATGCCTATTATGTTAATATTTTCCATTAAAGAAACTAATACATGCTATCTCACTTTTTATTTTTCCAGATCCAGGAGAAGAGAGAAGAAGGCTGTTCAATTCCAAGGTAAATTATCAAAATTAGTAAAATATTTTGTAGTTTCTGTAGTTCACACATTGGGGATTATTACTGGCTTTCTAACTAATCTCTCATAGCAGTTTGGATTCACGGCTGCTAGAAGTCCTTGTTCAAATTTTTGCTTTATATTCGTAACGACCGCTATTCTGAACCATATTCGTTACCGTCAGTGTCGGAAATTTAGTTATCATGACTAAACAAGGAATAAAGTACATCAACATGCTCGTAATTCACAAATTTGGAATTTTTAAAGGAAGAAAATTCGCAAAATTATGGAATTAAATATAAAATTTCCTGGCCTTTTGTTAATTAAACACTTAGAATTAGGAAAAGTGGGCACTGTACAGTGTAAATTGTTACGTGAATATCTGAATATATAAAATAGGTACGTCATGAGGAAGAAAGAGGTCGGAAATTGTACTTGAAGCCAATGGTAGACAATTGAACGATATTAATGATGTTTTTGAGAGGATAGGGAATCAGTAATTTTGAACAAAACTGTGACCAAAAATTGGTATCAATGACTCAATTTTCAGCCCACACTAGCATTAGCCTAAATACATCAGAGTGCTTGCTAATTTGGACGTATTTCTGTCAAACAGAACTATGTGCATTATGACGTGAGCCCTGTTATTCATACATTCTTTTGGGTCTCAGGGCTCATGTCTTAATGCACATAGCTCCGCCGTCCATTTTTGCTCGGGTGTTGCTTCATTCTGATGTGAAATTCCGCGAGTACTTTCGTCACCTTCCGGCCAAAGTATCATAAGCGCCACGCGACGTTTCAAAATTTCCGCCGCCTTTTTATTTTTTTTACAAAGAAATTGTCGGTTGAATCTGTTCAAAAATTTCACTGACTTTTGTCGGCAGCACAAAGGAAATACAATGGTATTTTTGGACAGCTTTAACCAACAATTTCTCAATAAAAAAATGAAATGCGAAATTTTGAAACGTCGCATGGCGTTTGTGATAATTTGGCCGGAGGGTGACGTCATATTCTTCTCAATCTTAGGTAAAATTACAGAAAGTTTCAAGGCGTTATAACTTTTGGTTTCCTGTTGAAATTATGAAATATGAGAAAGAAGTATGCAAAGTGAAATGAAATTCGGCTGATTCTTGTCAGTGGCGTCGAATCGATTTCATTTTTCTCTCACGTTTAAACACATTTTTCTGGAAATCAAAAAATGCTACTCTCATCCTTATGTCATCTTTCATTTGTCGGAGTCCTCAATTTATAACGGCCCAAAATGACATTGGCGGATCCAACAAATGGACCATTAGACAAGGTACAAATTTCAGCATTCTGATACATGTTTCTTACCTAAAATTTCACGTAGAACACGATGCGCACGATTAAAATTGCCGAAATTAACTCCCTGCGAAGATATTTAATGATTCTTCATGCGTGAATTTAAACCACCCGCTCATGAAAACTCAATGCTCTACGTGATTCACATCGCGCGCTAAACAATATTATGATAGTCTCTGCGATAAAAATCTGGCAACTTCGATCTTGACGCTTTGGCTCAGCTATAGCAAATTGCTTATAGTTTGAACAACACATGGTGGGAAATGAACATTGCTCGATTGAGAAGCTTGCTGAAACCGTTGTAGCGCGCAATTTGACTTATGTAGAGCTTTGAGTTTCTTGTGAGCGGGCAGTTCAAATTCCTCGTAACCAATGGGAAATAAAAACATGAATATCTTCTTTAGGAGTTGGTTTCAGTAATTTTCGTTCCTCGAATCGTGTTCTACGTGAAATTCTGGTTAAGATACCTGTATCAGAATGCTTAAATTCGTACCTTGTCTAGTGGTCCATTGGAAACATTGTTTTCTCCTTTTAAACCTGTGGATATGTATCGATTCTTGGAGGGGCCAGGTGCTACGACAAGAATCGATTATTTAACATAGGTTTAAATGGAGGAAACCCGGCGTTGCCAAATTGCCGCATACGCTTCTGCGAAATGCTCATATCTTTCAGCCGTAAAATCCGGCGCGGAAAATAGAGATTGCGGAAGGACGGAATAAAAACTTTCCGACCGGGATAACCTCGGAGAGAAACACGCAAATTTCATTCTGACAGGAAGCTCGGGAGGAAACACGTAACTTCCGGCGAAGTGCTACGTCCGGGAAATCCGTTCGTAAATGAAAGAGAGGAAAAAACACAGTCACCGCCCCCAGATTGTTACGAAAATTCCTCGGCTCCCTTTGTTCAGGCGCCCTGCATTGAGAGAAGTTTTGATCGTGTGTGTTTGTATGCATGACACCGATAAAGAGATATTTGTTCAAAGATGGGTGAAAGCAAGCGAGGGAAATAGGGTTGCGCTTTTCTCGCAGCGCTCCCGGATAGTTCGCAGTTTTTCTAAATGAAAGATGCACCACAAAGCGAGCGCTTTTTTGTGTGTCCGTCAAACTTAGTGTGGCGTCGTAAATCATAAAAAATTATGTTGATTACAGGCGTGACATAAGAGAATAAAAATCAGAAGTATAGTTCGCAGTTTTTCTAAATGAAAGATGCACTACAAAGCGAGCACTTTTTTGTGTGTCTGTCAAACTTAGTGTGGCGTTGGAAATCATAAATAATTATGTTGATTACAGGCGTAACATAAGAGAATAAAACCAGAAGTTTAGTTCGCAGTTTTTCTAAATGAAAGATGCACTACAAAGCGAGCACTTTTTTGTGTGTCCGTCAAACTTAGTGTGGCGTTGTAAATCATAAAAAATTATGTTGATTACAAGCGTAACATAAGAGAATAAAAACCAAAAGTATAGTTCGCAGTTTTTC